AAGGGGGTGTTGGGCAACTTCTCCAAAAAAAATTCCTGCGCAGCAAAAACTCCCAAATAAACAATCGTGCAAAGGAAACCATCTGAAAAAAAAATCGAGCAGGTACTTTGATGTTAAATAAATTCTTGCACAAACTATTGCCCAAAAAGAATGTACAACTTAAAAGTGAGAAAATAAGTCCTGCCCAAGAAAATTGCCCATCCCCCCCCCCCTCAAGAAAATAATGGTCTGTCCCTTAGTAATATTGTACCCAAACCCTCCTCCTCGCAAGGTGCACCCTTATTCTAGAGTACGAAATACAAACATGATAATCTTACTGCTGTACTCTGTAGGTCGCGTGTCGAGAAATTTCTAGATACATCTTAAAGGCACTATTCTACGTTTTGAAGTATACGGCACGTGGCAAAACGAATGCAACGATATATTCGTCATGCCCTTATCAACCTCAACAATACCGCAACGCCGACTTGAAAAAATTTGTTGGCTCCAAATTTTAGCATAAGCGATGAAAAGATGCAATATCCAATAAGACTGCAAGAACAACAAATAATAGACACTGAAATGTTACATAAAAACCGTTGGAAACCGTAGAAGTGCTGAAGAAGAGCACAATGGTATTTTAAGTGATATTACAACATATACTTTTAGTTGATATCGATAAAGGCCATCATGGTGATTCCAAGAGGATAATGAAAACGATAAAGAGAGCGATTGGAAGCAGATAAATGACTTTACAAGTGTCTCTGTGCGTTTGAAACTGCATCTTATTGCCAACAAACTGGATTGTGAATCGCCAAAAATTTCTTAACTGAATATATCTATGTTTAAAAAAAACGCCGTTTAAAATTTTGGCGGTAAAGTGAAACATTCACGACATTTTCGTTTTGGGACTACCTATATATATGTCTAAAATCTTCTACTGAGTTGCTGAATTTTGTCGAAGTGTCTATAAATAATCTTATCTATGTGTTGCAATACAATCTAAGAGGTACGTGTAAGCTATGTTGAGATTGGCGTCTGGTTTATAACGTCATTCATGACATGAAGCTCTGCTAAGTACAAGGTTTCCTATTGGACAGACTTGTAGACGCTGTCCTCTCGCTTTAAAAAGCAGTGACAAGATAACCCCGGGCATTTTCCTGACAGACTTTGGCTTGAACGCACAACCATCGTAAGTGGTTTGGGAATTTTTGATATTAGGTCCATTCGTTATGGCACGCCTTCGACAGCGGCCGATAAAACCCTCGAGGACCTCAAAATTGACAAAGTTATCTTGCGAGTTGTTGTGTGTAAGTTTACAAGCCCTGAACCTGCCCACATCCGGCTCTCGCATTCGACTGCTGGAGATGTTAAGCTTCGCATCAAACCCAGTCAGGCCCCGGGGCCGCATCTCTTCTGGAAGAGTGACAAAGTTTCCGCATTTGATTTCTTCATCTCTTGCGCGAAAGCAGGCACGACGGCGTGCCAATGATGAAGTCACTGATCAATCGCCGTTCACACTCGTCCAGAGTAGCTTAAAACCACGACAACGTTTGTCCACTCCTGGTTTGTCAGTGCATGAGCCTATTGAAAACCCAGTCGTATTCTTTGAAGCCAGTGATACGATGATGCCCCCTGATCAGCTCTCGTTAATGCAAGCTGCCGCAACGCCCTCGGTCAAAGTGCCACTCTCTACCCTTAACCGCCACGATGGTCAGTTGGTTAGCGTCATAAATGTTCCAACGCAAAATCATCGAGCGCGGTCCAGCGTCACAACTCCACTGGGCGTTAACCGCCACCTGTACACACGTCCAGAGGAGGAAGAGGAGGGAAGATTCTGTGGTGAGTACATTGTCCACCTGCTGAGCTGAATAGTAGTTGCATATTGGAGAGTTTCGTTTACAGCGCTCGTCTAATTTATTGCCACTTACGCTTCTCGAGAAGAAAGGCTTGACGTATCGTTTTTGAATGACTTTTTTGAGGACATGTCCTTTGATCGATTTCTGACTCTTCTCCTTGTATGTTTTGACAAAATATAATGACTGTAGTTAAAGTATTTGTAAAGCAAACAATGTCGCTTGGAGATGCGGTGGCCTCATCGTTAGTACGCTCGCCTCCGGATCCAGCGGTCGGGTTCGAGTGCTGGTCGGGGACATTGTGTTGTGTTCTTAGGCAAGACACTTTACTCTCACAGTGCCTCTCTCCACCTAGGTGCATACATAAATGGGTACCGTTGAATTTAATGCTGGAGGGTAACCCTACAATGGACTTGGTGTAGAAATAGTCTTAGTCGCTTCATGTTACAATACCTTGAGATAAGCACCGTCGTAGCACTTAGCTAGTGCACAGACTTAACCTTTAAACAATGTCGTTCTACATAAAGAACAAAATGCGCTTTCGCAAATATCAGTTCTAACTAGTGCGCCATTAGAGCACACGTATTCCTAGAATTTAACTGAAGAGGCGGTTAATTAGCCATTCCGTGCACTGACTGAGGCGGCATATTACTGGCGGTGTGTGTTATTAAAACCTTTCCACATGAGGAGTCCTTGATCTGGTGGATGTTCTGTCATGTTTTGCCTTGCCCAGCCTTGCTTTTCAGTTTGTCGATTCGTGTTGTATTGGTCTTTGATAAGCAATTCGAGTGGCTTGAATCCTGTGCCTGTTATATGTTGCGATTGATCGCGTCGCGGCCAACATAAGAGATTCTCCGATCTTCTTTATTGATATTTGGAGTTCGTGCCGGTTATGATCTCGGCACAGCATATCGTTGAACATAAATTGGACTGCCACCCTGTGCTAAGTCACTCTTGCTAAGAAACTCTTGTGTCGCTTCCAACCTGCCAGACGACCATTTTATTTATAAAAACCAGCAAACGCCCCGCTTCCTTGTCACTGTAGTGCACCGGCCACGCTCTCAAAACGAGATCACGTCTGGTATCTCTTGTCGTTTCTTAAATGTTTCCCGCAGCCTTCCCCGTCCCTTTTAGATAGAGTTCCCCGGGTTATAAGATTCTGGCTGAGTGACATCCAAACATGAAGAGTTTATGAAGACTAAACAAAATACTACCTGAATGTTTTTTTGTAAAGTCTGTTTTTAGACTGACACAGGCTAATTTTAAAACTGAACGTCCGCAGAAAAACGTGCCCATTCCCAAGTGACGGTAGCGGCCCAACAGCGAGCCGAGGCTGCGTATAGACGACAGCGCATGGCACAAGAAAGAGAGCAGACCGCTGTTTTGCGGGCTGAGATGGAGGTGGAGCGGGCTCGTATGCTGAAGGAAATGACTGGCGGGAGTAGAAGGCCTTCATACTGCGTAGAACTGGAGGATCTGAAGGAAGAGGCGCCCCATGAAGGTGAGTTTGTATTTTTAATACAGCATTAGCTAGATTTCGAAACAGCTTAAAATAGAAAACAATCGGGAATCTTCCAAGCAATTTTGTGGAGCAATCTTAGCAAATTCTCTTTTCCATGTACGTTTTTTAGTTCTGCGCCATTCTGCCAAAAGAAAACTTGTCGTAGCGTGTACACAGCCGCCCCCTCCCCTCAAAAATATCGGGGAGAGATGTTTTGTAGGTGGTAATTCTCAGACTGATATTATGGTATTATGGACAGTGGTTTAGGTTCAATCTTACTCATGCGTTTTTCTTGACCGAAAATCACGTTATAAGGGCTCTCTCTTATTAAGGACCCTGCCTGTTGATCTTACGGTGCCCGCATCACTGCAGTTTTGGACTGTATCTGAGTTTTGCTTTCGGTGCGACCTAGTTACGTTATGCTGGAGTTCAACTGTGCGCTTTTTACCTGATCATCTCATATCTTCCGTTGCAGTCCGTGAAAACCTGGACAAATGTCTACAAGATTACTTCGTTGAAGAAAAGAATGCCAAAAATTCGCATTTCAATGGATACTCGACGTCTGCAGAAGTGATAAAAAGCGAATCTAGAGGAGAGATTGGTGAAGAACAAAATATCCAGGACGGGGTACAAGCGGACGATGAAAACGGAAATACAGCGGAGAGAAAAAGTAGCACTGGAGAACAGGACGATCAGCATTGTCCTGAAAAGCAAAATTTGTTACAAACAATAGCTCGTTCAGCCCAAGCTTCTCCCAGCAACGTTTGCATCGAGGAAAACGAGCAAACCAGAGATCAATTGCGGAACGGGGATGAAACGCTGGAACAAATCGCAGGAATAACGGATGGATCGAGAGAATCAAACAAGTCTCAGGATGCGTCAATTACTGAAAATACAGACGTGAGTCAGCATCAAACTGTTGAGAAACCGGCGAACGACAGCAACGACATGGAAACGATTGCTAACGAAGATTCATCGATGGCGCTCGAGAATCGAACGGATAATGACGAGAATCAGGAGATAAAAGTAGAACATAATCCAGCAGGACTCGAACATGTACAGGACACAACTTACAACGTAAATTCTGACCTCAGTGACTCTGAACCGATTAGAATCGCTGACGATTTGAATGCGGAACAAATGTTAAGCTCTCACTCTGGGGGATCGGTTGAAGAGAAAGAACAACAACAACACGGTATAGAACTCAACAAAAACATCCATAATGGTTCAGAACAGACTCAGCCAGTTGACTTGTCTACAGATCAAGATATAGAGTCACTAAAAAGAGAAAAAGACGACACAGAACTTGATGAGAGTAACGTTACCCAGCAAGTGACTTTAGGACACGAGAAAATTGATCAGCTTTAAGACGTTAGTAATGAGTTCAAACAATTCTCGTTCTCTATGACCGGTGGGGTTTGGGTACAACTTAAGAGCCGAAAACAGCCCTTCGTTTTTCGTGCTTACTAAGGACTCCCGCAGCAAAAAGCTTGAATGACTCTGGGACAAAAATGATTACAAATGAAATATATACGAGAAAGACAAAGTATACCAGAGATAAAGTATAAGAAAATGAAAAAAGAAATATAAGTCAATGTTTATATCACCTAGAGTAAATGAATTTTCTTAGAACTGTTACGAGAGGATTTACTGTAGCTTAGGCATTTTTTTGTTGATCGAAAATTCTAGGAAAGCCAACGGTAGTTTTCCAATTAAATGTAACAAGTAGGACTTCCTTTTTATTATGTTGTGTTGGAAAATAGTATTTCGAACATGGCCGCCTATAGTTGGATTTAGAAGTTAAACATCCTAGGTCTTCATTAATTGCCTTGAGTTTTCACTCGTCATTGGAAAACAACCAGCTGAACATACGCTCTTATATTAGTTTTATTCAAGAGTTAGTTTTCCTTAGTGGCACAACTCAAACATTGCCATTGTAGAAACACTTTGCTCTATCTTAATTTCAAGCTGTGAATTTTAATTTTAATTCGCTATTTTTAATTTCGGACACTTGAAAGTGTTGGTTAGAATAAGATGCATTGTTGTAATTATAAACACTTGATGTGTAATGAGTGATATATAAGCAAGTGCATTTGTGAAGCTTTTCGATTACATTGATGACTACATCGTGGATTACATCGACGAATCGAAAACGTATAACGCACGTGCACAGCTATTGTTCTATTCATTGAACCTTTTGTTTGGAGGCGTTCTCGTTGCCGTTGTCGTCATTCTCATTAATTGTAAGAGATGAACATTTATTATCCAACTGCAGCGAATACCGTCCAAATAACAGTACTAATAATATACATGAAAAAATTACTCGATTCTGATTGGCTGAGAGCAGTGCAGTTCTAGTGTAACACCGGTGCAAAAAGTGTAACACTAGTGCAAATTACACATCGTAATTCTGGATTATGATTGGCTGAAAGAAAATAGGAACTTTTCTAAGCCAATGATATTACGTAAAATAATGAGGAAAATTTTGTGCGGAAACTTTTCAAAAAGTTTTCTCGAATGAGAAAAAATGGCTTCAAGAAAGGTCTTCCGGCACTTCCTCCACGCAAATTTTTCATGTTTGTATTATTAATACGTAATAATTTTAGCTTTTTGAAAAACTTACTCGTGCAAATTAATTCCAAATTGAACTCGAAACCGTGCGATTATCTATACAAATATACAGCGATATTGTACAGTTATCTGTACAGTAGAAGGCCTGTTTGCCGGAAAGGTCGGCGCGCGCACGCAAAACTGTCACACTCTTCCTCTTTCACTGACAAATTTATTGACTACAGCAGTCGGATAATAAATCTTCTATTGGATGTTTTGGTTTGTAGTATCGCTTTATATTTTTACTCGTTGTTTGTATTTTTGCTCGTCAAAATACGGCACAACTCGTAAAAATATACAGCGATACCACACACCAAAACATCTAATAAGATATATCAGGAGCCATAATCGGGGAATGGTGTTAATTGGAAATAAGCTACTTCCTATCTCAGAACAGGTAATGTGAATAAATTACCGACATTAAACGAGATACTATAGAGCATATGCACATGACGTCATGGCAGCCATATTGGTGTTCCAAAACAATGAAACGGTGGCCATGTTGGTGTACTAAACCCATCCTGTGGGAGTTCAACTCTTTTCATACTTAAACCATATAAATTTGCATGGTTGCTGGACACGTGAGAGAATACTCTCTGTAAGTAATNTATTTTGAAGCACTTTCTGTCTTTTCTATATACGTTGACGTTTCGCCACAAAAATTGGAAAAACTCCCTCATCAAGTTGTGGCAACACGATACTAAAATACCTTTTTGAGGGCTGTGACAATCATTTTTCCCGTAAAGAAATACAATGATAAAGTTCACTGACTGTGTAGTTTTGCCCAGGGTTTGAGACGATGA